TCGAATGGTCGCATCTCATTAGCACCGTCTTTTCGACCTTCACTCATACCATAATCTGTAATATGTTATTAATGTTTCTGATTACTTAAATTTGTATGAAAGTTTTTGAAAGGTGTAATGGTAACCAAAGAAAAGAATAAATGATGTATTTATATGTAAGTAGTTATCTGTAATACTGTATGTACATGTACAACATATTCTTATTTGAGAAATCAGACAGAGGAGATTCATTGAGATGAAGATAAGACGCAGATTGAATGAAGGGTGAAATTATAAAACCTTGGAATTATAATCATCTATAACAATATGAAGATGTAGCCCTTGGACTTGATTGCGTAACAGAAGAACAACACCCATTTAGATAGTTGTAGGAAATTGTAGAAGAAAAAAAAATATATGAGCCCCTTATCTGACATATCCATGAAGAAGAATTAGATTCATGATAAGTACTTAGCAATTGGTGTGTTTTGTTTTTACCAATCAATATGGTATCCAAAGAAGCATAGAACGCAACCATCTCAAGAAACAAAAACTGAGCACAAATTAATTAATTTCTCATTTTACATATATAGAAAACGCAAGTGAGACATTTCATATAATTGTACACAGTTTTTCCGTTTTCTTTTCCAATAGATGACACCAATAAACCAGTAAATACAGAACCTTTCAAGGTAATCTATTAGTTGTTCGAAATAAAATCTGTCGTTGAAGATCTTCGTAGTACGCCCTTTGCATTGGATTTAAATTTGTCATGTCCATTGACATTATTTTATGATCTTCATTTCGTTGTTCTCTTTCATTCATCATAGATAGGAGTTTTAGTTGTTCCTCCCTATCTTCGGCCCTTCTTCGACGGTCTGCAGCTTTCTGGTTACGGTCGATCGCCTTTTGTTCATCTCGCTCAATAGTTCTAGCAAAAATAGTTGATAACACTTCAACCATTTTGGATTGGTTGGCAGCCATTTCATCAAATCTACTATCGTGGGTTGTTTGATTCTTCAACTTCTCTTTCGCTGCTTTAGTACCAATTGGTCGTGTTGATGATTAGATGGTTCTTCGTGCAGAACATTATTTTGGTTGGATTGAAATGCATCAGATTCTCCAGTTGGTGGATTAGAACATGGATAAGCATGTTGCGTACTCTTTTTGGATTGTGTTCGAAATTCATCCCATTTACAACTTCGGCGCAAAATATCCCAACATGTATCAAATATGAAGTGTTTTTTCTGTATTGCATGATACATCCGCTTTGCTTCAGCGACCTACAAAAAAAAATTACAACAATTTTAATAACAAATATGCATTTAGAGAAGAAATTTGATATTTAACAACACAAATAAATGTTACCATGTCTGCCTCAGTTGTTCCACTTTGTTGCCTCAGTTGAATTTGTTCAAGAAAACCACAGAATTTATTAATTGCCTTTTGCATGGTAGACCAACGGTGAGACAAGGAAATACGGTTTCGATTTGATTCACCACTCAATTGTGAATTAAAATTAACAAGTACTCGTTCCCAAAATATAACCATAGTCTGACTATTATCAGTAATGGGATCTTGAGAGACTGCTAACCAAGATCTACATAAAGTTTCATCTTCTATAATTGTAAATGCTTTACCACGAGAAACACGAGAAGTTTCTGAAATGAAATGATTATCACTGCTCTGCGTGTTCTGTTCTCGCGAAGTTTCCGACATAAAATTAATATCAGTATTGTGCTGAAACATTTGTGATTCTTCAAACATTTGAAAATCTTCCATAACTTCAAAAAAATACAGTACATACAATATGTAAAATAGTAAAAAATATTAGAATGATATACAATTAATACTGAACCTCGGAATCAGATAATTTAGTCAGATAATATAAATTAAAGTTTCAAAGGAGAAAAATCACAGAAGAAACAAAATTCACAACATACAATGTAATGCTCTTCTCAAAATAAAAGACTCTGTCATCTTGATATACAAAACTGATATATTTTATAGAACACATTATCAACGGTAAATTTTAAAAATACTCTGTTCATGCAACAGTAAATTTATTAAAACGGCTACTTTTTAAAATATGTATATGAGCGGCAAATTATCAAAAGACTCTGTCCATCCAACGGTAAATTTACTGAAACGACTAATTTTAAAATATTTATATAAAAGATAATAATTTGAATTATATTTTCAATGAAATTGAAATTTATATCACCCTTCAAATTATTTCAAATTATTCCAAGTCCACAAAATAAGCTATCTAAAAATAAACCTATCTGAAATTCTACCTGTTCAAACCAAACCTGAACCAAACCTGTTGAAAGCAGTACCATTCCCATGCTTAGACCGGGCGACCGGATGGTCAACCAACTGGTCAACCGGCTGGTTGACCGGTTCACCTACACAGCTCAGGTCAAGTGATAGTTCAAACCCATCAGTTCAACCAGTTCAAACCCGTCACAGTCCAAACCCGTCGCCTAATCTGATGAACCGGTTGACCGGTTGGTCAACCGGCCGGGCAACCGATGTACCTCTTTCAACGGTCAGTAACAGTGATTTGGTAAAATCCATAACTTGTTCTCAGTTTGATACTTTTTTTGCTGATTTCTCATTTTGATATTCATTTGGTGCAACGGTTGGAGCATAAAAAAGTACATTTTTCATCAAAATTTGAATCTGATGTCAATTTTGGTTCACCGTTGGAGATGGTCTAACGGTTTCATTAAACCTGTTTCAAATTGATAACATCCCAAATTTTTTTACCAAATTGAGGATATCTTGCACATTTCAGTAATTTACTGTGCATAGCCATTGAGTGTGGACCCACCAGACGTCCTCCCAGATGATTACCTCAATGCATAATTTGTGAAAAATTTACATAGATGGGTCGACCACCCGGTTGACCACCTGCCTCTCTATTCCAATTCTGTTATTCTCAAAAACTACTTTCAATATCATATCTTTGTAAAAGTTGCTTTTATTTCTTTCATGTGTTCTGGTCTTGCAAAAAAATGTGTATCAATTTTTTTGAAGGAAACATTTTTCATTGTTATATTTTATTTTCCTTACATTTCCTTTTAACTCATTTTTCTCAAGAAATTTTTTCTAGAAATTTTCATTGCAACTTAATGGAGTTGCCTAAATCTAGCAAAAACAAATCAAAAAACATACCTCAGTTTCTTTTGCTCTTTGGAGACACTTTTCCCTTTTTTCCCCTTTTTGGAAACACTCTCTCTTTCTTCAACCTCTCTTGAATCCACTCTTTCAACAAATTCAATATAATTGAATCAACTTCATAAAGAACCATCTCTTTCACAATAGTCTTGCCACCATCTTCACAATATACAGAGTCTGCAACCACCATCTGCACCAGAAACTTCTCAAGCTATCATTCATATCAATTTATTCTCTTGTTAAAAAATGTTACATTTTGTCAATTTAATCTGATGGCTTGGTGCATCTCATCCAAGAATACACTACCTTTGTTGCATAATTTTTTTTTTCATTTCCTCTTACTGGTTGACCGGTCGAATGACCGATCGGTCGACCCTCTGGACGACCTGTGTTTTGATGACAGTTACAAATTCACCATTAGAGTGACCAGTGTTTTCAGAGGCGAGCCTAAGCACTCGCCTAAGCGCTAAGCGAGACGAGGCGAGGCTTCAGCGCTTCATGTGTGCTGAGGCGAGGCGAAATGGTGAGGCGATGGAGAAGTGCCTGAAGCGAGGCTTAGGCGATGAAGCGTGAAGCGTAAAGAAGCGACGTTTCATCGTATTTTTGCCTGATTTAAGTTCGAGTCATCTGGGCCCTTGATCGACTTTGTTAAAATGATCTGGGCCCTTGATCGACAAAGTTAATTACTAAATAAGAAGCCAAACCCTAGATCGACTTGGTTCGTCGATCGTCTGCCGAAGTCGAATCGAATCATCTGGTCTTCTTCTGCCGAAGCCGAATCTTCTGGGTCTGCTTCTTCCTTCTTCGGACGTCGTTCCGAGGTGAGTTGCTTCTTCTACCTTATTCTTCCTTTCTTCTTCTTCTTCTTCTTCTTCCTTTCTTCTTTGTTCACTGTTCTTCTTTGTTCGACTTCACCTGTTGTTCTTCTTTGTTCGACTTCGACTTGAAGAAGAAGAACACTGTCGAACAAATTAATTTTTTTAATTAATTCAATTTTTCTTGGTTAATTTTCTTCTTTGTTCGAATCAATTTTTTTTTAATTAATTTTTAATTCGCAAAAATTAATTTTTAAAGTTAATTCAATTATTTTAAAATTAATTTTTTTCCAATTAATTCAATTATTTTTTTTCTTCTGTGTTAAAATTTCAATTAATTTAATTAATTTTCTGGTTATTCAATTAATTAATTTGTTTATTTTAATTCAATTAATTTAATTAAATTAATTTCCTAGTTTTTTTAATTTCCTGTTTATTCAATTAATTATTTTAATTCAATTAATTTATTTAATTCAATTAATTTGTTTATTTTAATTCAATTAATTTCCTGATTATTTTAATTTCCTGATTATTCAATTAATTATTTTAATTCAATTAGTTTGTTTAATTCAATTAATTTGTTTATTTTAATTCAATTAATTTAATTCAATTAAGTTCCTGGTTATTTTAATTTCCTGGTTATTCAATTAATTATTTTAATTCAATTAATTTCAACTATTTTAATTTCTTTATGTTCTTTAATGTTGTTAAAATATGTTCTTTAATTTCTTTATGCTGAAACATTGAATTGCTTGTTGGATAGAATTAATGTCGAAGTCGAGTGAAAGTAAAAAAGATCCGGCATGGCAATATGCACGGATGGTAAATCCCCAAAACCTTTCAAAGTTCATTTGTAACTTTTGCGACAAAGAAATGAATGGCGGTGTTTACCGAGTCAAGCAACATCTTGCTGGTGGTTATAAAAATGTTGTTGCTTGTAAAAAATGTCCATCTCATGTTAAATATGAGATTAAAAACTATATGTCTCAAAAAAGTCAATCAAAGGTGGATGGTTCCTGATTTTGATGAGATGGATAATGATGACGATGAAATTCTTGAGATAAATTAACATGGTAAAAGGCCTGTTTCTACCCAAGGTTCTACCCGTCGAGAACAAGGAAGTAATTCCTCCAAATTTGTTGGTTCCAAACAACCAAAGCAAAAGGGACCCATGGATGTGTACTTCACCCCTGATCCGGAAGTTGCGGTGCAAAATCGTAAAGTCAAGGGAAAGCAAACAAGAATTGATGATAATGATCCTAGCAAGAAGGTGTTGAGAGATCGGGCTCTTGTTTGGTTTTCGAGGTGGATGTATGATACGGGTATACCTTTCAATATTGTGAATTACAATAGTTTTGGGCCAATGATTGAAGCTTTTGGGCAATATGGTCCTGGCACGAAACCACCAAGCTACCATGAGGTGTGGGTTCCTTATTTGCGGAAAGAGGTAGACCGCACTAATAAGACCATGGAGGATCATAAAAAAGATTGGGTAACATATGGATGCTCTTTAATGGCCGATGGGTGGAAGGACAAAAGAAACAGAGCATTAATTAATTTTTTGGTTAATTGCCCAAGAGGATCAATGTTTATTGAATCCGTTGATGCTTCTAACTTATCCAAGGATGCAAATAAGATGTTTGAATTACTTGACAACTTTGTGGAGCGTATTGGTGAAGCCAACGTGGTTCAAGTTGTTACAAATAGTGCCTCAACAAATGTGTTGGCCGGTTAGTAACTTAGTAGTATACATTTACTTAGTACTTACTTACAATATGAATATGCAATTCTCATATTATTCTTTTTTTTTAAAAAAAAACTTGTAATAGGGAAGTTTTTGGAGGCAAAGCGGCCATATTTGTATTGGACACCATGTGCAGCTCATTGCTTGGACTTGATGTTGGAGGACATTTTCAAAATTCCCAACTTTAACAAGACATTTGAAAAAGCAATTGTGATGCATGGTTATATTATAAACCGCTCTGGTTTGTTGAATATGATGAGGTAATTTACCCAGTGCAAGGATTTGATCAAGCCAGCAAAAACACAATTTGCAACTGCTTTTCTAACTTTATCAAGGATTCATCAATAACAAACCAACTTGAAGAAGATATTCACTTCAGAGGAATGGACCACAAGCAAATGGGCGAAGGAACCACAGGGTAAAAAGACCGCACAAGTCATATTAATGCCTTCTTTTTGGAACAATGTTCTTTATGCTCTCAAAATATCAAGTCCTCTTGTTCGTGTACTACGATTGGTTGATGGTGAGAGAAAGCCTCCCATGAGATATATTTATGAGGCAATGGATAGGGCTAAAGAAGCCATTGCAAAATCATTTAATGGAAATGAAGAGAAGTACAAGGAGTTTTTTAAAATAATTGACAATAGATGGAATGTTCAATTGCAAAGGCCTTTGCATGCAGCTAGGTATTATTTAAACCCAGAGTATTTTTAGGCAAATCCAAATATTGAGAAAGATAAGGAAGTCATGTCAGGCTTGTATAAATGCATACAAAGGTTGGTCCCAAGCAATGAGACACAAGATAAAGTTTGCGCAGAGTTAACTGCCTATAAGAAAGCTGATGGTCTCTTTGGGATGGCTTTGGCCATTAGACAAAGAACTACAAGGGCACCAGGTGATCTATATTTTATACTTAAGTAATTTTAGTTAGTTTTTTATATTTTAAATATTCTTTCTAATTAGTTAGTTATAATCAACAGCTGATTGGTGGAGTGCATATGGTTCTGAAACGTCAAATTTGCAAACATTCGCCATCAAAATTCTTAGTCTAACTTGTAGCTCATGTGAGCGGAATTGGAGTGTGTTTGAACATGTGAGTACCCATTTTTAACTATAATGAATATGAATACCTATAAATTTATTAATACCTAGATAAAAAATTGAATATTTATATTTGGTTTGAATTTTTACAGATTCACACCAAAAAGAGATATAGGTTAGCTCAAAAACGTCTGAATGATTTGGTATTTGTTAAGTATAATAGAGCATTGAGACGTCGATACAATTCCCGTGACACTATTGATCCCATTGCTTTGACGGATATTGATGAAAGTAACGAGTGGTTGGTTGGGAGGATGGAGGAGGAACTTGTCTTTGAAGATGATACTTTGACATGGGATGATGTTGCTAGAGCTGCTGGAGTTGAGGAAAGTAGTCAAAGAACTAGATCAACAAGGGCAATAGAAAGGGGTTGTTCAACTTCAAAATCAACAGCTAGACCTAGATTGCAACTTATTGATGAGGAAGAGTCAATTTCAAATAGGGGAGAAGAAGAAGATGCAGAGGGATATGCTGAAACCAATGATAATGAAGAAGAAGTTCATTTGCTTGATGTTGAAGATGATTTTTAGAACTTTTGGATTGGTGGATTGTATTTGTTTTTGTTGGATATTTTCTTTTGTTTATGGATATTTAGTATTTGGAATGATAACTGCATGATGGTTCTTGAAAATATTTATATTTTTGTCTATACCATTTATTTTAAAAAAATATCATTTCTGGTCGCCTCGCTTCGATGAAGCCCTCGCCTCGCCTCGTCGCTTCGCGCTTAGGCGTTAGGTGACCTTGTCGCCTTAAAAAACACTGGGAGTGATTAATACCAAATAGAGAAATTCGTGGTTTTTTTACTCAAATTCGATGAAATATTTGGTGAATCGTTGGAAATGCCCTTATATTACTAAAAAAAAAAATTTATGATTCTCATTACACCTATTATACTATGAAAACTAACCCTAAACTAAAATTCCTCAAAACTCTTTATGTTTTGTCTCTTTACACCGATAGCTTTCGGTAATATAATGTTAAAGAATTTGAATTATTCCAATGTCGTATTACCAGACAAACTAATTTTTTCCAATCATTTTTTGCCATTCGATTAGATGATTTTACTTTACTTAACAAGAAATTAGTTAAACCCCATTTCTGAAGTGCATGGTTAGTGATAAATTTGCCGAATTAAAATAAATTTGTCCAACAACCTATTGCTGTACGTTTATAGATTACTCCGGTGTCATGTTGCCAAACTAAAATAAATTTGTCCAACCACATGTCACTTTACATGCGTTGTAAATTGTCTTTATTGTTATCGCATTAAAGGCATCCCTTCGTTTCAATGTAATCAATATCTCTTTTGGTCGCACCATACTCTTTGACATATCAACTAATAAAGATGTTTCCTCCACATATAATCGATTAGCAAATGAGTGCCTTTCAAGATGTTCAACCACTAGATAATTGTGTACTCTGCATAAGACATGCAATATCCACTGATCATTTGTAGGTAATTTTTCCCCATTAATAGAAATAAGCATTCACACTTTTTAAGACCTGTCAGCCTAATCGTTCCCTCTTGATCTTCATACTATCTCTATAGTAATCATTTCTCTCACAAGCATTACCTCGTTTCACAACTTTCAATTTTAGTCAAAAAGTCATTATAAGTTGTCACATCAGTCTCTCTATTTTTGTATACATCTTTTCGTAAAAAAGTCAAAAAGTTACTAAAATAGCTTATTCCCAAACGAATCTATGACAATGACAATGACAAATCCAGTATTCTTCCTAATATCAGAAACCCATTTAGTTAATGCCTGTCGACTAATAAAAATCTAAAGATAATAAATACATTTATACATGACTCTAGTCCACTAATAATGCAATATCTGCATTGCTGCAATAAGTAGAAGTATAATCCTTCAAAGGAAAAAATATATAAAATATATAAAAAAAAAATTAAACTGGAAATGCACGATAATGAGTAACCGAACAAATTAAAAATGTTTGACCTTAGGTTATCGGAAATGTATCTTTTATTTGGTAGTGGGTTATCCGACATATATTTTTTGTTCAACAATGTGATTTCGAATTATTTTATTTTGTTCGATTTTAACACACCGAATAAAAATTGAACAACTTTTTAAAAAAAATGTAATGGAAACTTACCAAACAAATAATAAAAAAAAAACTCACAATTTCACTTTTTTTTAAATGGTTTTTCATCACTGTTTATTAATCTATTACTTTCTTCTATGATCAAAACACTATGATTCTCACTTTTTGAAAATATAATAAAATATATTTAATTTTAGTCTTTTGTCTTTAAAGGTAGTTTGACACATGGGTAAAATTGAAGAAAAAAAAATTTTCTCATATGAAGGGGAAATTCTATTTCCACACGCCTAAATAACTAAGGGAACACACTTAATGAATTTTTAATTTAATGGCAATTATACCCTAAATCTTAATGACCATAATAGACATCCAACAACACCTTCAATATCTTCCATGGATGGCTTCAATGGACTCACTTCATGATCATCTGAATCTCCCGGATAAGTCACTCAGATTTTATATAAATCTTAGTTCTTTGAATTTATCATTTGATATGGTAGCTTGTATATGATTCTGTATATCTTTCTTGATTCTTTGTTTGCAGGAGTATAAATTGAAAGGACTAGTTTGGTCAATTGATGAGAAATCTTTGAAATCTGATCAGGTTATTGCTTTTCTAGTAAAACCCAACACACTGATTTTTTAATTTCATTTTGAGATGAGGGTTTGTTTGACTTTGTTTGCTTGCAAAAATGGATGGTTTATAGTGAAGACACTAGCAACTGGATTTCAATCATTACCCAGTTGGTAGGTTTATGTGTGTTGATGATTGGGTTGGTTGACTTCTGAATGATTACTGGCATGAAAACCCTAAAAAATTGATCTAGGTTTTCTCTTGAAGTCTTGGTTGAGGATTTAAAAACCTTATTCACTTCATGGGTGGCTCAAGAATGTGGTCTTCAGACTGGTGTTCACGCTTCATGTGGGTAGAATTTTTTTGGTCTTCAAGTTTTCAAAAAGTGTGTGAAAAATAAGGGTAAGTGTGTGTACAATAATATTTGAGTGAAGGATATAATTGTAATTTTTAGTGTGTGGATTGAGAAAAACAATCAATAAATAAATTATCAGGTGTGTGTATTGAGAAAAAATTTGCTATGAGTTATTTAGGTGTGTGGAAATAGAATTTTCCCATATGAAGGGTGTAAAGAGGTAAAATAGGGGTGCCTCTATTTACACACTGCATTTTATCTCAAGGCAAACCATTACACAAGGCAAACCATTACTCAAGGCACTCCCATAATATTTTGATAAATAAATATTTTGCTCAATACACACCATAAACTTCCATCTTTACCCTTACTCACACACCCCACCCCTACAATCTTCCATCTTTACCTTCACTCACTCACCCATTCCACCCACGATATTTCCATCTCCCTCTCCATTCTCTATTTAAACCGATGAAGGCCCATTGTTGAGTTGAAAGTATTCACTTATGTTCGGATCTCTGTGAATACGAGTTAAAAGTATATTCACTGGTGAAGTCGCCTAGGATCTCTTCACCGAGTTGAATACGAGTTGGAAGAAATAATCGATTTGAAAGTATAATAAGAGATCCTCATAGTTCTGAAAAAAAGAAAAAGAAAAAAGAAATTATACTTGATATCCGAACATATAGTTTTTGTTCGACACATACAAACCAAAAAAATGAACTAAGTTCGACAGTAATAGATCAAACAAAACCAAGTTGTACGGTTGTGGGTAGTCGAACATAAATATACTATTCGACTCTGGACAACCGAACTAATACAAACGGTTTACACCCTCAACAAGTACACGAAGACGATAATTATACAAATGGTGTGTATTGTAACCATTTG